AACTCACTCTCGGTCTCTCTCTTCCTTTCTACGCACACTTGTCTCCCTCCCTTTCGTTGAATCATATCTCTCTCTCTCTTCTCTCTCTCTCTCTCTCTCTCTCTCTCTCTCCTCGGTGTATGCTTAGGAAAAGTGACAGCCAAAGTTTCACTATAATAAAAATGGAGAAATAGATAAAAGGCTCATCTTTCATCTGAATATGGTGAAATTCTCCCCAAAATTTGCAAACGAGAAAAGTGAAAGTTAAAACATAGAGAGAAAGAGACTAAAGCCAAGATTTTCTCTCTACATATAAAAATGTTGAGAGAGAAGGAGACAGAGCCAAAGTTTCAAGAGCATGAAAGTGGCGGTTCTCAGCGTGAACACCTGCTCTAAATCCTTTTACAATTGATATGCTGTTGCTTTGGCCTGCTTTAGGCAGGATGCCCTGATATATTCCCCTGGGCGAATGTGAGGTGGCAGCCTTATGTGACCCTGCTAGTGGGCAGTATATAATCCTCCAAAAACCTCTTATAACCTTTTTTTTGGAAGCATTTGGGGGTCTCAATAGCAACTTTCAAGGGTTCTAAACATATTGAATTAGATAAATCAAGGTGAAGTTTTTTCCTGTTTTGGATTTGGGAACTTCCACTGATTTGCTGGAGAATTTGAATTGGTTGCGGATTGATCAAGAAAATTTTGGGTGAAAAAATTGAACTTCTGAAGTAAATTTCAATACCTAATATTTAGGGGTTGCTTACTTGCTTGGTATATTTATTTGTTTGTTATTCTGTTTGATGCATGGATTGGATCATATTGGTTGTTGTACTAATTTAAAAGATGTAAAGTTGTAAACACGTAATAGTAAACATCTATGTTATTTGAGCAACGATTGAGACAATGTAGTGTTAGCAGGACGGGACTGGACTACTAGTTAGGTCTGCAAAACCGGCAACTGGACCCTTGACTGGGCCTTTTAGATCTCTAAACCACAATTGATATATAACTGGACAAAATCGTTAAAGGGTCAGTTGAAGAGGTTTGATCGGCTGGTTTTGTCGGTTCTCTTGTACCAAACGTTTTTAGGTGAAGTGAACTGGGCAACTCCCTCTCCGTTTTCTAATTTTTTGGCCAGTAGTGGATTTTTTGTCCTTCTTCTATGTTTTGTGCTGAGCTTAGATTCAATCTTTTTATTACCAAAATTTGTACCCAAAGTCCCGAGATTTATGCCAAAATTGTGACGTTAAATTTTTACAAAGAAACCATCATCTTGCTTTGTCTTTATTTGAAATACTTTCAGGCCAATTTATCCATATTTTTTCTCTATTTTTGTTAGCTTCTCTGTTTTGTATTGCTGTAAGGAGAAAGAGTACAAGGAGAGGGGGAGGGGGGGGGGGGGGGGGGGTGTGGATGGGACCGAGAATATCCACGAGACAGGTCTCTCGGTCTAAAAAATTGGTCCAGCGGTCTTATACAAAATTGACCTTGGACCTTCCTGATTACAGAATATGTACTTGAGATTTACAAAAAATGGGGCTTATAAGAGGGCTCGGTTACATAAAAGAGTAGATCGGACTAATTACAGCCCTAGAATCCCTCTGTGGTCCAGAGCAAAAAAGGAGATGGGCCTATCGGGGTCTTCGGGACGGGCCCTTGCTTCATCTTTAGCGAGAAGGTCAGCACATTCGTTTGACGTCCGCCACGTATGCCTCCATAAGACGTTCATATCCCTGCATATGAAATAAATTTCATCAAAGATCATGGAAAGGTACCAAGGAGGTGTAGTAGTTCTTGCGGCCCAAGAAATGACGTTTTTAGAGTCTCCTTCCACTACCAAAATTGGGCCCCACACAGGGTTATAGTTTTTGAGACCCATTAGAAGGGCCATGGCTTCTGCATACTGGGAATCTTGCTCCCCCAAATATTTTGAGTACGTAAAAAAGATCTTGCAATTATGGCATATATTTACTTCTCTTAAGAAAAAATTTCTTCAGGAATTGGGCTTGGGCTTGGGCTTGAGTACTTAGCAGTTGACTTTAGCACCCTAGTTCTCAAGTTCAATTCCTACTATTGAACTTCTCCTTAAAAAAAAAGAATTTTTTTTTTTCATTTTGCTGCTGGTGTTTTTGGATTAAATCATCCTATGATCCTATCTCCTTGATTGTTGCCCATGATGGTGATCCTGAAGTCATTGTAATGAACTTGTTGGTGGGTTCCCTTTTTTGTCGCTTTTTGATTTACCTCAATCTATTTTAATGGTTTATTCTAGTCCTTCCTGCTATCTATTGCTGTGGTTGAAACTGGAAAGCCTAATTTTTCTACCTAAAAATCTCTGAAAGCACTTAGAAAAATTCGAGAGACCTCTAAGAGGATATTCAGACTGGTTTTGATTAGGCTTGCCCCTTTTGCTGGTTTGAGCACTGGTCTTGCCTGATGACACTAAGACATTGTATGTATTAGAGACAGGTGCTGACTGCTGAATTGAAATGCCTCGTATAATATGCAGACATTACATACTTGTGCTATTATTATATTATAAAATTTATGAAAATTTCATAAATGTTTTATAGTTTTTGCCCCCATGGGAATCAGTGCACCAGCTTAGGGTCGCCTGGTGCATCCCTAGCTCCAGGAGTCTGTATATCTGACAACATGGCTTTAGCATAAAGGTTGCTCCAGCAAGTGGTTCCTCCCATCAAATCCCTCCGAGACTTAGGATAAATGCCTTCCTTAACCCAAAAACACACACGCAGACACAAATTTGTCGATGACACAAATGCAAAAAAAATAAAATAAAATGTTTGGAGCCTCAACAGCCTTGGCACCACTTGATCTTTAGGAAGCAGTAGTACTGATTAGTATGATAGTATCTTTGCGATAATGAATCAATATATACTGTGAACAAATCTAATTCCTTTTTGAAATTTCACCTGAGGCTTGGGTCCCTCCTTATGTGTGGGAACTTTATTTTATTTTATTTTTTGACATTTTCTGGTGGCTGGATGCTTAAGCCTAGTGGCATGGTGCTTTTTGTCAATGCCATTAGGTTTTGGGTTTGATATTCATTTCTGATTGATCTCACAAGTGTGGAATTTTTCTTTTCAGATCCTTACAATTTATACATTTTCGAAATGTTTTAATTTTTTTATTAATGCTGTTATCAATCTACTTAAGTTCTTAATGCAGCACTGTCTTTTTTTTGGTGAGTTTCATGGTCACTTTCATTCAGATTAGGCCAACTGTTCATCAAAAACTTTTGATGCTTAGAACTTCTTGTTTGAAATCCTACAGGTGATATTTTCGTTTGGATGTAATTGTGATAAATCTAATGCTACTATCATGGTGTTTAGTAAATTTACATGGTTTTACATTTATTATCATTTAGGGGATATGTTGTTAAAGGCTAGTATGCGATGAATAGGGATATATTGTGCAAGGCTTGTATGCAATGAATGTTAATAATCTATAGTGACATTTTGGCCTATAATGGAGATTTTCTTTGTACTTGGTAGTTTACTTCTTAATTTATTTAGTCACGCATTTCATGATTTGTTGTTTCTTATAGCTTCATTGATCATTGAATTCTATCATTGTAAAACCAACACCAACCAACCCCAACAGACCCCCCCCTCTACCAAAAAAACAAAAAAGAAAAAAAAGAATTATCCCTTCCTCTCGTGGTAAAGTGGTGACAAATAAGTAGGTATGATACTTAATTGCTTAGTCGTAATGCGGTTTGTGTACATGCAGGCGGACTCCTGGTGGACGCAAATTATGGGAATCGAAAGATGACAGGGCATGGGTGCATGATAGGTTTGAAGAGCTGAATCTACAAGAGCCACCTCAAAATGAGGTTTATTTTTTTATTTTCATTTTTGTGTGGGTTTTTTTCTTTTCTTTTTTTTTTTTTTTGGGGGGGGGGGGTTTAAGCTTAGCCCTTACTAAATTTATGAGTTTGCGAAAGTCCAGTAAGTTGAGAACTGGGTATTAAAGTTTATTGGAGAAGCCTCTTCGCTATTATTTAGAGGGTTTATTTTCTATCATCTATCTACGTCTCTCAACTCTTTCACATCAGATTCTTTTTGAGGAAAACATTATTAACATGGTCAAACTTCCTCAAGAAATCATAAAGGTGGCTAGATCATCCAACTCATCAATAAATTGGTTATTTTAATAAAATTATTTCATTTTAGTACTTCGTCCCCCCGCACTTGTTCCATAATTTCATACCTTGGAACAATAGATTTTAATGAAGAAAACATATGTTTTGAGTTTGGAACCGAGAACTAGCAGTGGTAGTGATGTAAATAGTTGGGGTGTACGTAAGTTGGATGATCTTTCTATAATAATGACTTTGTTGATAAATTGGTTGATTTGACCACCTCAGTCATTTTTTGAGGTGGCTTGGCTGCTTCAATTGTATACTCTGATTGTTTCTATACTGTCTATAATGCGACAATAATTTATTGTCAAACAGGATAGGAGAAGGTCAAAAGGGCGTTTCAGAGGTCGGGGTAAAAACAGGGGCGGGGAACGTGGATATGCACAGGGGAACAGGCCAAGAGCCTATGATGATAGTAACAATTCATCACATGCAGTAAGGGGTGTAAGGGGCAGAGGGCCAAGGAGATATGAACAAGCAATGAGGAACAATGGTTACCACTTTAGAATGCATAATAAGCCGTAAGTCCTGAATGAACTAATTTTACTTACCCTCAGTTGTTACTTTTGTTTCGAATTTATTTTTCTAATCTCTGTATGATGATCTGGTAGGATTATGGTGTTCCTTACTTCAAATGGCATTCATTGTCCATCCTATTGAGATCTACTGTAATAGGGCTCAATTGGATATTCATGCGAGGACAGTTGATCTCCAACTGTTCATTATTGGGACCACGGATGCCCTTTGGATCACTATTTTTAGGCTTCTTTAGAATAGTGCTCTGTGGGATTAGTTTTCATTTCCCTTCAGTTTTTGATGGTAATTTGTGATCCTTTTTTTTTTTGGGAGAACAGTTAACTTTGTAATAGATATATAACTAATAATACAAAAAGAACCTCTTAGGCAACCCACAAGACTATGCATTTGTAATTTTTAATTTGTTGTTTCAGACCTCTAAAATCTCACGATGCCATGGCTAGCAGCAGTGGAACAAAACCTTTCTTTCATGCTTCAAAGGAGCAGACTGAGGCCTTGGGTCCTAGGAAGCATGTCTTCGCTTCGAGCCTAAGCTCTGCTTCTCCCCCATTTTATCCCTCTGGATCTTCTAATCAAGACAATTCTATTATCCAAAAGAGGGTTCTCCAAACTGGTTCTAGCACGCAAAGGAACTTGCCCACTTCGGTTTCTCCTGATGAGCTTGTTACACGAGGAAAGTCTGTCATTGAACCTATTGGGCAGAACAGAATATATGCAGATCATTCTTTGCGGATGCTCACTGGAAAGCATCTGGCCAATTCATCACCAATCCAGTCTTCTGGGTCTTCTTCACCTGTGAGCGCAACCCATACTTCTCATTCCAGATTTCCAGGGAAGGGTTTATCAGTTTCAGGGATACAAAGCTATCATGTCACACCGCCTGTGAGCCACATCAATAAAACCACTTCGCAAACTCTAGCTTCAGGGCCCCAGAAGTTGGTACAAACTCCAGCACAATTGGGTTCAAAGACTTCATCACAACAACTGGGTTCTCGACCTGGTAGTGGAAATCCGTCTGCTAGTTCTTCACCTCAAGCACCTTCTGTGCTCAATGTGTCCGAAGTTGGAGAGACTGATTCTCCCCCTGGTTCGTCCCAGTCTAAGACTGCTCTAGTTGGGAAGGGCAAAGCTGGGGTTCAAGGAAGTGGAAGAGGCTCCTTCTTGTATGGTGGTGCACAGGTTATTGGGGCTACGGGTGCAATGGCTGTTGCTCATAGTGATCAAAGCTTCCCTCCCACTCCAGCACTGTTGCCAGGTAAATACTTATTTGTCAGTCTTGATTTTGTTTTATATTTGATGAGCAATCTCAATATGGCACATCAGATCACACGCTGTTATCAATTTACATGACTGTTTCATTGGTAACTAGTCAGATTCATCTTTCTTTCATGACACCTTGGCCTATAAGGTTTCTATTTGTCACATTGTACCAGATTGGTCACGTGGACTTGGGTATGTGAACCTTATTGTTGCCTTAATGTGTGAACTCACGACACGAAATGAGCATGGGGTTTCATTTTCAGTTTTCGGGACCATGAAATTAATAAGTTGAAATATGCATTACAAAACGCTTCCGGTGGATGTAATATTGGTGGAACTTTATGCAAGTGTGCTAGTTCATATAAAGGGTCATGCGGAGCTTTCTAGGGAAGGGCTTGAGCTATCTCAATAAAAGAACTCTATCAGTGGAAAAAAGAGATTTTTCCTTTTCCTTTTAAATTTTCCTTCATTTGAATCATTGTATGTTGCTTTACTTTGGGTGTTTATTGCATCAATATGATTAGTTCGTAAAGAGATTTTACTTTCCTCATTTACGTACTGAATGGATAATTGTTTATTAATGTAAGTGTATCTATGTGCCTTAATTACTAAGCATGATCAATTTTGTTGATGGAATTGTAATTTTTGTAGTTATGCAATTCGGAAGTCAGCATCATGGTGGTCTTGGGGTTCCTGCGGTTGGTATGGCACTTCCTGGGTACGTGGCTCAACCACAACTTGGATTCGGAAATTCTGAGATGACCTGGTATGTTTTTTTTTATTCTTTTTTGAGTTTCATTTGTGATTTTGTTTGCTTGTTATCTTAATTGGAGATATGATATGTGTTTCATTTGTAGATGTTTAAGAAAATGATGAAAATGTGCTCTTTTTAGTTTCACTCCATCTTGTTACCTGTGTAGTTCATGACCTTTGATGTGATATGTTAGATTCTTCTAGGTTCATAATGAGTGAACAATAGAAATTATAGATTTGATTTTAGGGAAAACTTTAAATGGGCAACTGATATGCCTTTGGACTTCATTGTTTACATAAATGTGACTTTCACTGTTCTGGTGTTGGTATACACGATGATGAGCTGAAGATGGCAGGCAGTATTGCTACTGCCTATGGAAGCCAATGAGAATCTTCTCTTCATGGTGTGGGAGCTGCAGTTTGCAAGGCCACTGGATTTCAGATCGATACTGTACTTTGCAGCAAAACGGAGCTGGTTGGCATTTATTGATGGATGCTGTACTTCGCTTGATATTGAAGAAATCAATGCGTTCAGGAATTCATGATTCAATTTCCTCTCGAATTGTTCACTTTCTGTTTCAATGAAATTCATGAAGAATATAATGTTTCCTTCGCAGGGAAAGACGACCACAGTGATATGAGAGTCTGTAGTTCCATGCCCTTTGTGTTGAAGTCACATTGGCTGAATTGTCTACCTTTGAACCCTTTCTGTTTAGTCACATTGGCTAAATTGTCTACCTTTGAGATCACCTCTTCGGATCATGAATAAAGTTGGCAGAAAAAATTTTGATTACTAGTCGTCATTTTACCAAATTCCCCCCTGTTCTCCATTGATCGCAGTGAAATCTTTGAGCCATCTAATATAACATTGTTGTCTTGCCTTCAATATTCCAAATCCCATCAAGCTACCTCTCCGAAATCTGTCTCCCCACCAATGATACACCACTTTTGTCCTATTGCCCCTAATCAGAGGAGTTGTCTCTTCATTCACAAGCATTGCCCTTCTTTGTTTCTTCATCTCTCTTCCCTGTATTTTTCACTGCTCTTCTTTGATGATATGACCATTCCCATACTGACAACAATTTCATCTGTAAGTGTAACATCTTCTTCAAATAAGCCAGCTGGGGTTCCTTCCACGTAAACCAAGGGCTTCCCATATCTCTAGGTTTCTTTCCTTCTGAAATACTGGATTCTCCATAGGTAAAATCCTGCTTTGCCTCATCAACTATTCATACCCTTGGAGGCGCATATCTCCCATGGCAGTATACTTCTGCAATTAAATCGGCCCTACATAATTGATAGTTGACCGTTCATTCTCATAGTGGCTTCTTGATCCATAGACACTACAAATTTTCCACCCTCCCCCATTTTTCATCTCAATTCTGTTTTTCATCTTCTGCCAGATGAGTGGTTGTCTTCGAACTTGGGATATGGTTCTGCAGCCAATTACCTTATCCCTCTTCCATTCAACAGGCGGAAGTTCTATTTTCCTGCCTCTTTGGACCTCATCTTCCTTCTCCCATGAAGTTCTTACGTATTCGCCTTTGTCTCACCTGAGCCCTAACACTCAACACTCCTCGCGAGTCATGTATGGAGTTAATGTGGTTTATGATGCCAACATACTAACCCATCTAATGAATCAACATCATTGAAGAACATTCATGAATACGAACTTTCATGAGCACCATACCTGATTTATTCCATGAAGTATAAATTTCAAGTCCTTTGTTCCATCGACATTTCAGTCCAATATGAGGGAATGTCTGGAAGTATTTAATGAAGTTTCTTTTTCACACAGACTTGTCTCATATGATTCTATGGAGCTTATGAGTGTTTGTTCATTTCTGTTTACATTGTTTTTTTATTGCCTTAATTTCCAATAGTGATAACTTTGCATTGTGTTTTTATTGCCTTAATTTTCAATAGTGATATCTTTACATTGTGTTTTTATTGCCTTGGGTTCCAATAGTGATATATGTCTTGTTTTACTTGCCAGGGTACCGGTCTTGGCTGGGGCAGCCGGGGCTCTGGGGGCAGCTTACTGTTCACCTTATATGGCAGTTGATGGTGGTTATTATGCTCGTCCATCTGGACAGACATCCTTGGGTGTTTCCAGGTGAACATTATGACTCCTTAATTTGTAAAAAATTGGCATGATTTTCAACATTTCTCTTTCTTTGCTTTCCCAGATTCTAAGTACATGATGTTCTTCTACTTGATCGTGTGTTCTTCATTGTGTTGGTTCTGATGTTGTCATAACTGATAGTGAGGCTGTCAATTGGGTCCGGTCGACCTTTAGGCTTAATGGGTTAATTCTACTCGGGTCCAGGTTTAGTTCCTATTTTGGATTCTGATAGTCGGGTCCGGTTTGGGTCTAGAAGTACGGACCCAAGAGTCAGGTTGGGTCTGGGTCCAGCCATGCCCTACTCGTTTCGGGTTGGGCACTACCCAATCCAACCAATTGTTTTCTTTATATAAACATACATTTTGTATTATAAAATATATAATATAATTTCTAACTTTTTGTATTTTGAGTCTTTGACGTAGAGCTGACCCGACGGGTCTGATTGACCTGGACCCGATCTGTTCCCAACCTGGTCCAGGTCGAACCTTGAACTTGTCAGGTCGGGCTTGTCTCGGATCCGACCTGTTTACACCCCTAACATATGGTAACACATGACTAAATTAATTTTGGTTTTTTCTACTTTCTTCAGGTAACTATTGTGTTTGAGACTGCTGCTAATTTTCATAATGCTTACCTCTTTATGGTTTATAAATCAAAAGCAGGTGTAGTTCTTTGGGGCAACTGTGTAACTCAGTGCTTGCAAACATTTATCGCAAGCCTTTTACCTCACTAGTACATGAAATTTTGATAAGAACTTCCTAGTACAGTGGCATGCCATTTTTAGGACTCATGATTAAATTGATGAATCTTGTAAAATATGACTCCTAAGGTATCATACTTCGTAATGACCATTTCTCACTTGAATCCATGGAAGGCCTCACTTGAATCCATAGAAGGCCATGATACCCTCATCAAGTTTTAGAACAGATGCACTATTGTATCAAACTGTCAATGTAGGCTTTGTGGATGTTTTCTTTTTTATCCTTGAGTGGTAAGACAAGAAGGGACAGAATTCGATATGAATACATTCGGCAGAACTTAGGTGTGGTTCCTATAGGCGATAAGATGAGAGAAAGTAGACTCAGGTGGGCTGGCCATGTACAGTGCAGACCTAATACAAGCCTCACTGAGGGTACGGCTCTTGATTGAGCAGAATGATGGACCGCGATTCATGTGGCCGACCCCAAATAGTTTGGAAAAAGCTTTGATGATGATGATGATTAAGATTGTTGATGCTTTATTGTTATTATTCCATCTTAAAGGAACAGGATGAGAAATCTGATTTTTGGAATTTTTGCTGCAGTAGAGACTCTGGTTCAAGCAAATCGCCACAAAGGCCTGGTAAGCCATCATTGCATTATGTTCTGGTTACTTGTAAACTCCAGTATTATTATTTCTAATTTTTCTTGAAACATATTTAATCAATGCTTTGATTTATTTGTCTCATCAGAGCTTGTTAGTGATGAATTTGGGCAACGGCAAAACAAGCCTCGCAGGCAAGTGCTCTTCTAAGAGCTCAAAACATTTTAACTTGTTTTGCATTATGAAACAGATTTTTGGTAAGCAATATTTTCTTCTTTAACTTGATTTTGAGACAAACCCTGTGGATTTTTTTGCAGATATTCTGCAATGAATTTTGGACAATGAATTACAAGTGATAAATTGGGTGTATTTGAATAAGCAGCTAAATGTCAGTATCCATTTTACATCCTTAGTTTGTTGCTTTCTTGATATGGGGATTTCTGGAGCACTATCTAACGATCTCCTGATGTTAGTGTTCAGCACTGCAGGCCTGCCTTACTGGCCCTCTGTGATGTCCAGCTTTTGTTCTGGAGCACTTTGGGCAGTTTGATATCTCAAGATATGCTAGGTGCGTATTCGTGTTTTGATCTTTGGTGGTATGGAACCTTTGGTTGGGTATTCATGCTAATATTTTTTGATAGCAGCGAAATTTTGATTATCTATTCTTGTTATGATTATTAGTACTTGGTCATTATGCTTTTTGCTATGCATTGCCTTCGGATTATATGCATTTATAATATTTGAAATTTATCCCCAGAAAAGTAGATATATCTCAAGAAGTGATTGACATAGATTAGAAGAACAAAGGGTGGAAGTTTTTTTTTTTTTGAATAAGTTGATAATTGTATTGATATCAAGAAGAGAGTACAGTTACGACAACGCAGGAGATGGGTGCCCTATACAAAAAACCCCTAAGGGTCCAAAAATGTTCTACATCAGATTCGCAAGAGGATAAAGGACGGGAGTGCAGGCTTAAAAAATGCCCACTGATCTCATAGTAGAGTTTAGGCTCACTCCTTCCCTAGCTAGAGAATCTGGTGTCATTGGCTTCCCTAAAAACGTGGCTCCAGTTGACCCTCAATGTGCTTGAAATCTGAGAAATTTCGTCGAAGTTGGGGTCTAGCCTCCAGGGCCAAGGAGCAGCAGCCCTAGTGGCGCACATAATGATTTTACTGGAGTTGCCTTCAACTTGCATATCAGTGTTCCAGGTTAGGTCAAATCTTCGGAGGCCTCCGCTGTAATGGAGTCGTGTTTCCAATAGCAAGGAGAAAGAAAGGAGGGAGGCCTCAGAATTACGGAAGGTGGTCATGTAGCTTGTCCTGATAGGAAATGGATTGAAATGACTGATACTTCTATTAATAAAAGAAAACCCCTCATTCTCCGTCCCTCCCTCTCATTTCTGATGGGTTTAAGTCTGTTTCTTATTCATTTATTGTCTATGTAGGGAAGCATGCTCATAATCAAAAGGAATATTTGGGAAAGCGTGAATGTCGCCTAGGCAGCTAGGGGTCCTGGGGCAGGGGATTCAAGATTGAGGATCCCCAAAACAATGAATTTTTTTTTTTTTTCGAGGGGGGAGGGGGGTTGGTTGGGGGTTTGGGTTGGACACCATATCCCCGGTTCTACTTATTTTATCGTGAACAAATTTACTTTTTGCATGGTTGGTTTATTGCTGTGTTGTGCATGTTTGTGCATGCATACATCCGTTTGAAATTTGGATTATTGAAACTCAATAGTGAAACCCGTCCAAACTTGAAAGTTGTAAAGGAAAGAAACCTACAAGCACCTCAGTTGTATATCATTGTGCATATGGACTAAGGAGTAACTTCCATTGGATGATGGGCCTTTTAGATTAAACAGTTACATGCATGTCATACCATCTTCATTATGACCAACAGAAAGTCCCAAAAGTCAAAAGACTGGAGACAACAAAACAATATAACAAATCTCAATTTGCAAATTGAGATTCGTTGTTATCATCATCATCACCCGGGCCGCGACTATCTCCAGCATCACTATGAGTTGCATTTGAATCTGGTGTGCAAAGCCATCATCATCAAAGTCATCCTCCTCTTGATGTATCTAGCTTCTTTGGTCCCATCTGACTCAGCGTCCTATTCCTACTCCTTATATCATGCTCTTCCTTGAATGTCCAGATTGAAGAGTCCACACATTGCTCAATTAGCTTACAGCAACCTCATGAACTTGACTGCGGGTCAAACTCTCTCCAGGGAACACTTCATCATCTATAATATTGACCAATCACCTAGTGGAATCATTCTTATCTCTCAAAGCAGTGGGGTCGATATCATACCCCTCCTTTCAGTCTCATTTGCTCGAGTTGCTTTCTCTTCTTGTATGGAGTCATTGGATGATGCTTGAATGCATGATTTATCTAAATCATAAGACTAGGTAGGGCTGCCTGATAGGACATATAATCATTGATGGGTCGTAGTGAGTAGTAGGACAATGAGTTTATTAAGAAATTACCCTCTCAAATGAGCTAAAGTTGCACTAGCAACTAGATGAGCTACAAGTCGGATTCTATGTGTAAAGGGCCATCTTCTTCGAGTGTTTGGCTTTTCCTCCATGTGTGGCCCAGCATAGAGCTACATTACATAGAAGGAAAATAAACTATAAGTATACATATGGTAGTAAACTAGTATTAATGTATATATATATACTATTAGTATTGTACGTCAACTTCACATAACAAATTTCCAATAAAAAGCAGGTAGAGAGATTGCATTGATTGATTTTAATCTGGCTTATTGCGATATCTTTCCCGGGTATCTCCATTTAGGTCCGACCCATGTAAAGAGCATGATGAAATAACCTGCTGCATGCACGTGGTTTATATGGCTGGATATTTCACTTGCCATCCGCAATATTCATCAAAGGAAACTATTTTCTTTCATCATAGCCAGAGTTGTTTGAAATTGTTGGCAGCCTCCAGTGCCCCTTGTAAATATGACCCATGGGCGGTTCCTTCTCTCTGTCAACCATGTCCAAGACATTATACACCTACTCGACAAAATGACTGAAGTAATTAACGCCCAAACCCAAAAAATCCACCAAAATCAAAACCCAATCTTGAGTACTTATATTATGAGACGCAACAAATCAAACTCCAATATTGAATAAAGTGAACCAACTGAAATCCAAATATTGAGAAAAGTTACAAATAAAAAACCAATCTTAGAAAATATTGTCATTAGAAATCCAAACCCATACTAGAAAAAATTTACAAAACCAAATATTGGAAAAAGCCACTAAAGCTAAACCAAATATTGAGACATGTCATCAAAAATTCTAAAGGAAAATAAACCACAAAAAATTACAGAACCTAAACAAAACCTTTTAAAAAAATATGTCAATAGAGGCCAAAACATCCAAACCCAAACATGGCAATACAACAAATGCAAGAACCAATATTTTTTTTATTTTTTTATTTTTATAAAGAAACAATTCAAAACGCAATATTGAAAACTGTCACCAAACTCAAGATTCAAAATTTAGAAAATTTCCAAACCCCAATAAGAGTCAGTTGAGCTTTGGTTGCTGAAACGCCTCTTTTGACATTACTTCAAGTATCACAAATAATCTCTCGTCATTGTTCTCAATTCGCTAGAATTCGAAAGTGCCCAAAAATTTCTTATACTTGAAAAAAACAGATAACGAAAAAAAGAATCTCAAATCTTGTTTATCAAGGGGAGGAGAAATGACCCAAAATGCCCCTGCCTGAGGGCCATTTTCCACCCTGGTAGTGGTGTCAAGGTGACCGCATGGGCCCTTAAGGCGTGCCAAGAAGTTAGGTAACCTCCTAAGCAGTGCCTTGCCCACCCAAGCAGGCACCTAAAGGTTCCCCTAGCCTTAGGTGAGATGCCTATGGTCAGGGTGCCTTGTGAAACATTGATTAAAATTGTCTGCTGTGCAACAGGTTCATACCTTGCTAGAGAAAGTGGTAGGAGGCACTCACCTATGCTTTTTGCTTGAAAAATGCAGTTATATTATGCCCTTCTTCTGCTGTGAGTGGTTGTTTCGTGGCAGCTGGACTGGTGGCAGTTCCTTCACTTGAACTGCGGTAAGATGCCACCTCTCATTTTTTTTTTTTCCTTCTTTTCAGTGCTTGACTTCTTGGAGAGAAGCCTTTTTTTTCTTGAGAGAGAGAGAGAGAGAGAGAGAGAGAGAGAGACGCGTAGTAGTACGTAGTACGTGTACGTACGTACGTCCGTTCCTACTTACTTCTTTACGTTTCGTTCGTTCGTCGTCGTGTCGTTGTCGTGTACGT